TGTTCATTAAAAACCCCAAATTGGATTAACAGTTTGCTTCCTGATTGAATAGCAATTGACCTGCTAAATTTCAATCAGATTGGTTATACCACGTCAGTATATCACACTTTCATAATGCTATATTCTGATAACTCGCTCACTATGACTCTTTGCCCTGTAGCATTTTTTTCAGGGTGTCCTTTACTTCCCCATTTCTCAGGCTGTAGATCAGGGGGTTGAGCATGGGGATTACAAGACTATAAAACACAGAGACCACTTTGTTGTACTTCCATGAATTCCCTGCTTTAGGTTGCTCCAGGTACATGAAAAACAGTGTTCCATAGAAGATGATGACCACAGTGAGGTGGGAGGAACAGGTGGAAAATGCTTTGCACTTGCCCTCGGATGACTGGATTTTTATAACAGAAAAGAGGATGCAGATGTAGGAGATGAGGACACTGAGGAAGGAGCCAGTGAGATTCACTGCAGAGAAGATAAAGAGCTGCTTTTCTTTGTTGTGGGTGTCAGAGCAGGAGAGAGCAAGGAGAGGGGGGTCAGCGCAGTAGAAGTGGTGGATGACATTGGAGTCGCAAAAGGACAACTGGAAAGTCAGAACTGTCTGTATCACAGAGTTTAGAAAGCCATAGGTATAGACCCCTACTACCAACTCCTTGCAGACCCGCTGCGTCATAATGGCCGTGTAAATCAGGGGGTTGCAGATAGCCATGTAGCGGTCATAGGCCATTGTGGCCAAAAGGAAGCATTCAGTAGTGGAAAAAGCACTGGAGAAATACAGCTGAGCAAAACAGCCTGAAAAGGAGATGGTTTTCTTCTTCACCAACAAATTTTGCAGCATTTTAGGCCCAATGGAAGATGAGTAACAAAGATCAATGAATGCCAGGTGACTGAGGAAATAGTACATGGGTGTGTGGAGCTGTGGATCCACCTCGATGAGCAGGATCATGCCAAGGTTTCCCACCAGGGTGATGAGGTAAATCACCAGGAACACCACAAAGAGGGGGAGCTGGAGCTCAGGACGGTCTATAAATCCCATGAGGACAAATTCTGTCATTGTGGTACGATTGCCTCTTGCCATTTTGTTCTCTCGTCTGTTGCAAAAAGAAATATGGCTTAAAAATGATTAGATACTTAAAAGCAAAAGCTTCTTACTTCTTTGTTCCAGTACCAGACGGAGATAATTTGGCTTTACATCCCCAATAATTAAAGGCTTTATTCCACTAAAACAGACTCAAAGTCTGAGCTCATTTCTTTTTGGAAGCAGGGGAATGATTTTNCCTAACAGGTCAGTCCTTGTGTTATCTTTTAATTCTATTTTTCCACAAACTTTTTGAAGTATGCTCTATATAAATTACTACTTACAAATCAGTGTGGGTAGTGCTATGAAAGAGAGGAATACCCTAACTCAACCTACCTGCTGTGACGGTGATACGTGGGGGTGGAGGATCAAGAATCTTTAAAGAGGTAACACTGAATTGTCCTTAATTTTAGACCGGATGTTTTAAATTATAAACACAAATACATCTACTTTGTGCAATTATCAATTAGGCCAGAGAAATATAAACGGAATAAAAAGGATTTTCTCCCCTCTACCTCCAAAACAAATTGATCAGTGGTATCCAATGTCAACAGTTCCATTTATTTTCTTCCAAAAAATGCTTAAGTATAAACAAGTATGAAAGTACCCCCGCAACAAACACCTTTTTCTATGTGAATGAAATCATGCAGTTTTGCACTTTGCTTTTTTTTATACTTAGAAATTATTCCAAAGCAACTTGCATAAATTCTTGACACTTCTTTTTATAGCTGTTTTATAACTTATTAATGTGTTCTCTCTTAATAGGTGTTTAAATATTTCCAATTTTTGCTTCTTTTTTTTTTTAAATTTAAAATAAAACTGCAGAAATATCCCTAAGCATGTATGTGGATAATGGATAAACCACTAGAAGCTGAATTTGGGTCAAAATGTGTATACAGTATCCACTTTTTTCTTTTGATGGCAATTAACAAATTGACCTCCAAGTAAGTTTCACCATGTAGCACTTTCTCACTCTTATCCAAAGTTTTACCAAATTTTAAAACTTCGCTTCTGTGATAGTGACTGTTGGTAACTCATGTTGTTTTGTGTGTTTTTATGGAAAGGGTTTAGCCTTTTTTGAACACTTATCTGCATGCATGTTTCTTTCTCTACAAACTCTCAGTTCATTTCCTTTGATAATTTTTCTATTAGGTTCTTGATCTTCTAAACATTTTATTTCTAGGGGGCTTTTTGTTTA